GAGAAAGGTGGTGTTTGTGCTAATTATCAACGACAGAGAAAGGTGGTGTTCGTGCTAATTATCAACGAGCTACTGTGACAACTCAAGTATCTATAGTCTGTATCTTTTGGTGTAGTCCAGTACCTGTAAAGATTAACTTACCTGCAAAGCTTGCATCTCGCCTTCCAGTTTTCTTTTGGCCATCGATAGAGATGCTGAATTAGCAGACAGTTCATTCATCTGTTCGTGAGCATCGGCTAGCTCTGTTTCTGCTGAGCGTCGACCTCGGTCAGCCTGGGCGGGAAACGTGGGACGTGTTAAGTTTCTGATTTGTTCACAACTAAATTTAGCGTAACATAGATTATCTTTGTATCGAATCTCTTGTAAAATTTACGGATGTAAGCTTTATGAAGCCTCACCTGTTCCAAGAGCTGTCTGCTTTCTTCCAGTTCACCTTGGAGGGCGTGGCTGCGTCTTTCTGCCATGGCATACTGCTCTCTGGCTTCGTCGCGTCCTCTCTGTTCTTCCTCCACTGCTTGTTGGAGTTCCTTGATCTGTTGCTGATACCTCTTGATGTTCTTCTGAGCTTCGGAGTTGGCCTTGTTGGCGTGGTCAAGTGCAATCTCCAGCTCATTGATGTCGCTCTCCAGCTTCTTCTTCATGCGCAGAGCCTCGGCCTTGCCTCTGGACTCGGCTTCCAGGCTGGCTTGCATGGAGTCGATGGCTCGCTGGTGGTTCTTCCTGTTGTTGTACAGACATTAATCATCTATAGCTTACAGTGGAAAGTACGTAGAAGTGCTTGTGTTATTCGTGACAAAAGATGTTAATACGAGAAAACAGGACTTCATTGATAAACAGAAAAAACTTTGTCAATTAAACTTCAGAAGGACACAAACCTTGTGTTCTCAAATTCTTCCTCTTTGTCCTGAATCCTTCGGTCGATCTCCTGGCGGACCTGAGAAAGTTCAAGTTGGGCACGAAGCACCTTGTTCTCTTCCTGTTCTAATGCAGCTTCGGCCTCTTCCAGAGCTGCCTGCAGTTCTTCCTTCTCCATCTCCAGCCTCTTTCTGGATTTCTCCAATTCATGGACACTTCTTCCTCCTTCACCAAGTTGGTCGATAAGGTCCTTGATTTCATCTGTAGGTGGAATCAAGTAATAATGAGTAATTCGTTAATATAAACAAACCCAGTATCAGTACTGTGTTACTGCAATACATGTTATGGGTTCCAGGTTCGATACCAGTGTATAGTGGGGGAGTTACAGCAGTACTTGCCATGGGTTACAAGTTCGTTACCAGTGTACGATGTTGGTGTAACAGAAGGACTTGTAATGGGTTAAAAGTTTGTTACATACCTTGTAAGTTCTTGTTCTCCCTCTTCACAGCCTCGTACTGCTCCTGACCCTCCTCGTACGAAGCTCTCATCTTGAAGAGTTCCGTGGAGTAGTCCCTGCACTCCCTCTGGGAAGCATCCAGCTCTGCAGATAGATCGTCCACCTTCTGCTTCCATTCTGCTACCGTTTTGTCGAAGGACTTCTGTTTCTTCTCTAGTGTAGCGGCGAGACTGTTAGCCTGGTAAGAAATGATTTCTTTTAATACCGATCTCAAAATGCCAGTTTGCACGCGCTTCTTGGCACGTGCAACATCAAACTCCCAAAGTAGTCATCCATTAAAAGAAATCAAATAATATATATATATACCGATATTTTAAACTTCCACACAATCTCTTTATCCTAGACACGCTTAAATAAAAAAAAAGGTACTTTTTAAAATAAAGTTAAATATAATAAGTCTTAGCAAAGTTGTCGTATGGAAGAATACATTGAAACAATCCTCACGGTCATTATTTTCAAAAAATTGGGTTGAAATCTCGTTCATGACTGTAAGAAATACACGTAAAAAGTATAGAAAATGATCCAAACATCACGAGAGACGAATGTAGTGAAATGTCTACATACAGAACACGAATCTAGTAGCTCTCAGAAAAGTAGATTCGACTGTAACTTAGGCTTAACAAGTAACTATTATAAAATACTTCGACTGTAACTTAGGCTTAACAAGTAACTATTATAAAATACTTCGACTGTAACTTAGGCTTAACAAGTAACTATTATAAAATACTTCGACTGTAACTTAGGCTTCACAAGTAATTATTATAAAATACTTCGACTGTAACTTAGGCTTCACAAGTAATTATTATAAAATACTTCGACTGTAACTTAGGCTTCACAAGTAATTATTATAAAATACTTCGACTGTAACTTAGGCTTCACAAGTAATTATTATGAAATAATTTCACTTACCCGATCCACCTCAATAGACATGTCCTCGATCTCTCCCTGGAGCCGTGACTTAGCCTTCTCCAATCCACTACACTTTACATTGACCTGTTGGATATGTTCCTCGGCTTCTTGTAGTTTAGCTTGAAGCTTGTTTCTGGGAGATATGATAAAACATTAGTGATCCAACACTGTCCCCATTACATCACGTAAAATAAGAAACTAACGATCCAACACTGTCCCCATTACATCACGTAAAATAAGAAACTGATGATCTAACAATGTTCCCATTACATCACGTAATCCCAACTAGATCGTTTTTACTACCATTGATTAAGACCATTTTCTGAGTAAACTCACTTGGCATCCTCTAACTCTTCAACTCGTGCAAGACCTTCACTTTCAAACTTGTTTCTCCACTGCTGGACCTCGGTGTTAGCCCTGCTCAGCTGCCTTTGGAGGTCGTTCTTGGATTCTTGCTCTTCTTCCAACTGCTCCTTCAGGCCGTCCAGTTCGTGTTCCAGATTCCTGAATTTGCCCATAACTGCAGCACGCTCCTGAAGGAGAGAACTGAACGTTTAAAAGCAGCATTATTTGGAAGAATGTTATTCTTCTTGAAGAGTATGACCTGTCTTCTCGATCTTCTGACACGTTCTCATCAAATAGTGGTATTTCAGTCAAACTATACCATTACCAAAGAGGTCATACTACCAGCATATTCAATTTTTTACGTATATAAACAGAAAATACTGCCTGTGATAATACTGTCGTAAACCAATGGTCATAGAACACATCACTTGGTAGTGTTAGCTATATTTTAAGTAAACACTCTTGACCAGTGGCTTCATTTCTCTTCCTCGAACACAACAATGACCTCTTAGTCTAAGTTCACTGAAATATAACTACTGATCTGGTAATATCCTGTAATACAAATTGTATTACAGGATATTATCAGATCAGTAGTTATATTTCAGTGAACTTAGACTAAGAGGTCATTGATCAGTAGTTATATTTCAGTGAACTTAGACTAAGAGGTCATTGCTGATAATATCGTCTAATATAACAATGACCTCTTAGTCTAAGTTCACTGAAAGATAACTACTGATCTGGTAATATCGTGTAATACAACAATGACCTCTGAATGACATGATATACTAACCCTGCTCTCCTCATCAGCTGTCCTCCTGGTCTCCTCCAGTTGTGTCTGGAGGGACATCTTAAGCTTGCCTAGCTGGCTGACCTGTGATTCTGATTCTTCAAGTTGCCTCTGGAGGTCGCCACATTCAGTACTTAATTTCTTTTTGACAGAATCGAAGTCTCCTAGAGAACGGTGGGCTTCGTCCAATTTATATTGGGCATCTTGGAGTTGGACTTCCATCTGTTTCAGGTTCTTCTCGGAATTTGCCTACAACAAACACACTAAGTTGAAATCTCCAATTGGCAGCTGACAAACTGAAAAGTTTATTGACCTCTTCGTTTGTTTTCTTAGTAATTAAACATTCTGAATAAGTTGAGTAAAGTTGTATCCGGTGTTAGCTGTCAAAATATTCAACACGGATATCTTGGTTTCATATTGTGGACCCTAAATTGATATATATATTTAGTAGTGCACCTAACACTGTAAACTTAGGTGCCAAATTATAAAGATTGAAGCAAACCTTGCTCAACCAATCAAGATTACTGAGAATGTCTTTATCAGAACTTTGGTTAAGACTGATTAATATTCAGTATAAATTTAGATGTAACCATGGCCACGTGGGCTCTATAATTCGTTGTTTGAGTTCAAGGATTAAGGAGCATGCGCAAAGTACTCCATATAACCAGTCAGCGCTTGTTGAATACTGCCCACGATATCGGTATTCTGAGAGCGATGTTGTAGATTGACAAGTTTTAGTTAAACCAACAACACAGCACAACAGCGCCATGACTTCGGTATACTACCTTTTCTTTGTTGACGTGGTCGACGCTGGCCCGCAAGTCGTCCAACTCGCCCTTCATCTGTGCCCTTTCTTTCTCCACCCTGCGCAAGATAAGATGTTGTATCTCATAATAACATTATGATTGGAAAACACCAGAGTTATCATTCAAGAAATTCAATACTTTAATAACAGTAATACTTAGACTATCATTGCTCTAATGTATTTAATATTTTACTCTAGTGATACTTAGACTATCATTGCTCTAATGT